TTTTTTTTTTTTTTTTTTTTTTTTTTTTTTTTTTTTTTTTTTTGACTTGGTTGAGCTTTGGTGTTAAATATATCATCTACTCAAGATCTGAAATCAAAATATGTGACTGGCCAAACGAAGAAGAGGGAACAAAACCAACTCTTGCCGTAAATATTGAAAGTGATAAATCCACTCAGGAAAAAAGGCAGGATAGAAGATATGTTAGCTTGGAGAAGATAATTGACAGGTTGGGAAAGAAAATTTAACATGTTATGATCATTATTAACCTTCATGACTGCAACATTTGTATCGATTCCTTCCACCTTCACTTGATCCACAGTTGCCTGAGCAGCTTCAGCACTACTAGTGTCTGATACAGATTGTTTTACTGCAAGTTCTAAGGGATTGGTCTCACCAACACAAACGTCTCCAACAATTATTGATTCTTCATCAATGTTTCCCTCTTTTGCTAATATGAATCCGAGTTGGCAAAGTGCCAGGAGTGAAACTGGGGATAGTTTGGACTGCGGTTTTGCATAAGGGCTTCCAGAAACATCACCTTTGGCAGCATCAGCATTTAAAAGGACTAGTCGACTAGACAGAGTTTCCAAAATAAAATCTCCCCTTGGAAGACTCTCAGCAAGGTTAAAAGGAAGTAAGGTTTTGTAGTGGGATGCAGAATAGCGGAAAGCTTCTCTAAGAGCACGGTACCGGAAGATTCCGAGAATAACCCTTGCAAGTACTTCAGACTTTTGAATTTCTTTAAGGCTGTTTTTCCTGATAAACCTGTGAGCATACAGGACCTCAAGACAAATATCCAACCAATAGTCCCGGCGAGAGTTCCCTTTGAATTCAGGAAATTCCAAATAAACAGGGTCTGCTCTGCAAACGACATTACATAAAGAGCTCAAAAAAAAAACAAAAAAACAAAAAAAAAGTGAAAATGGTAAAATATGGTCCCAATTATCAAGTGTCAGTAAGGTAACAGATAACATACATAGATGTTGACTTGTACATCACCGCTTTATCAAAAAGGCGAGCACCCAATGGTCCAGTTAATTCAGGTTTGATGACCTGCTTCATATCTGTTGCTAGATCATATCTAACAGCTTTGTCATACATCCCAACTCCCAATGATTCGAAGTACAAAGCATAATTGGTCAGTGTTAACCGCCCTACAGAAAGACCATAAATCAACAAGTAACAATGGCCAGATTAATATTATGCGAAGAAAGATTGTGAAGAGAGAACGCATTCCACTATTGGGTCAAAAGATTCCATTTATGCTGAGAGACAGTAATCTAGAATATAGTCAGAACTTAAAACGTACACATGTGTATCACACGTGAAGTGGGCAATTAAAGCAAACATAAATTCAGTATAACTGGTAAAAGCTAATATGTATGACAAACAGGTGGCATTAACAATGTGTCAAGGCATCCAGTATAATCCTAGAGAAAAACTGGATATTTGATAGTAACATATAAATATCACGCATCATCACATCAAGGGATCAAGTTGAAAGCTGATGCAATTATAAACAAAAGCTGGCGTAAACAAACCAAGCTGACCCAAATTCTCCCAATTTACTCTTTAATAAGGTTTCTGCGCTATGATAGCTAAGAAAAGTAGGTGATATAGTAAGCTAGGTCAACAAGAAATGTCCATGTCACCTTAGCTATCAGTGGTATCTTTCTGAGAGCAAATAATGCAATCAAGACATGTCTGTATCGTCTAAGAATCTCATACACGTTTTATGCAAAGCATGTCACGTTTTCAAACTATCCCCGAAGACCACGAGCAAGGACTCATTTTGGGCTGTAGACATTAGTGATATATTTACCTAATTTTCTCCTTCCTTGTTGGTAAAGACGCAAAAAAATTCTCCTAACAATCAACAATAAAAATAACAGTAGACTCTTTCTTTTTTTTTTTTTTTTTTTTTTTGAAGCCTAGCAGTACATGACTTTCTAGCAAAGTTATTCCTTGTCCATGCAGTGACACATCCTAAAGAAAATAAATAAATAAATAAATGAAGTTGTATAGCCTGTATAACTTGAATAAGTTATGGTGATTTCTTTTTTGCTTTATTGTGGGTTACAGAACAACGTTCAATCCCTCCATTACCAATAATCTCTCTCCGCACTAGAGCAGGCAGGAATAGGATCCCAGGATTTGAACTAGATGCCAAGTGACTTTACAAGGATTTGAAGAAATTATTTCCAGCAGATAACAAATATTTGATGTAAAAAGTTGTATCAAACGATAAAATCTCTCACCAGGCCAAGCAGAGATACCAATATGTTGCAGAACCGGTTGAGTAGGAATTGTACCATCAACATCTAGGACAATTTCTCCCTCAGAAAGCTGAAGATTTCCGACGGAAGGAACCAATGCACTTTTTGCAGCCTTTATAATTCTGCAAAAGAACCATGAGAAAATTATATTGGACTTCTGATCCCTACATGAGAGCTGAAGCAAGGACAAGACTGTTCGTTCCCCACACCAGTGGGTCACTTCTCTTCATCTACTATTCAATAATTCCACACACATGTCCCTTCAGAAAGAAGTAATAAACTAATAATAAGTCCAGAAACATGTTTTTCTTTTCATGAATTATGTCTCTTTGGACAATATACTTAATCAAAAAATGAGAAAGTGCGCCACTTTTTTGTTTGGCAAGTAAAATTATACCAGAAAAGCGAAGACTGTACTTAATCAGAACCAAGCATGCTTTTAGGAATGCATTGGTCAAACACAAAAGAAAACTAGTATTGCAATTAATTTTAATGCACACGGGTAATTAATTACAACCAAGCTTTGCAATTTACATCTCCATCTTAAATACTCAGGGATGCAATCTAATTTTTAAACTCTTGGATCGTATTTTTCAAAACATTGATCCGTCTTTTTCTCTCACTCAAGTCTTGAAAAAAAAAAAATAGAAGTCTTCCCACAGTTGAATTTGTATAAGTTATATTTCTCATTTCCCAATGAGAGATAGCCACCATTTTGTTTAATTTTCTTCGAAATGGACCCAAGGCCAACAGCCAAAGGAGAGATTATTTCACTTCGACAAAGGTAAATAATTTGTTCACTATGATGTCATGCGCATAAAATATTGTCATGGACGTGGAATTATGTTGAATTGAGATTGTCTCCTTAAACAAATTGGTGATAGTAAATTCCGGTGAGCTTTTCTTTGTAATCTAACATTAGTTGTCAGAGGAGTAAACCAAAAAGTAATAAGTGGGAAAATCACGTGTGCAAACTGGAAAGGGACATAACATAAGGCAACAGTTCGAATTCTGCTTTAGAAGTCTGGAATTTGAGCAATTGAAAGAAGCCAAGAAAAAAAATTTTACTTGTCAAGGCTTCTTATGTATTTGTCATACACAAGAAAATGAAGTCGACAGCGTGAAGAGGTTGTAAGTGCATCAAAGAGATTGTGCACAGTGATTATATCTGCGACAGCTGCACAAGCAGGAGCTATCCGTGCAAAAGCCTCTGGTCCAACAGTTTTCTTATCATCAACCTAATTGAAAGAAAAAGACTAACCAATCATAAAGCTGCATATTGCAGATAGGAAAATGAAAGGAATGACAAAACGTTGAGAGGAACCTGAACAGCCATCTTCGTAGAACTTGAATAGAAAAGTGACCACGCAGCCTCATCCTCTACCTCCTGATTACTGCAAGACTCAGCCTCCTGACAGCATCCAAAAGATAAAAAGCAAAAAGAAAAATTATAGAACCTGATTGTGAAATTTTAACTAAATCTAAGGAAAACCTCCATAGATCAAAGTAGCAAAAGGTGACAATGATGGGCCAACTCACTTTCTCTAATTGTTTGTTCTCAACACTTGGAACCTCCCATGCAAGCATCATATCAAAAGTCAAACGTCGGAACTCCTTATCGCTCAAATAATCTGGGCGTTTAGTCAACATATGTAGTGCTTGGTATGAGCAAAACTCTAGAAAATTCCTCGAGTATGTCAGAAGTTCCTTAGTGTCCTCAGGTATTGCTATTCCAAATTGAGCCTCTAACTCTTCAGTAGGAATCTTAAGAATTCTGTGGCAAAAAGGATGGGAATTACTAGGGTAAGCACATTTTTGAGTAGTTCAGGAGTATGCAGCAATACATGTTTACCATTTAAACGGGCATAAAAATTTGCTCAAGCAAAATGACCCACCCCCAAAATCTCATCCCTACCCCTGTGGATTATGGAATGTTCTATTGAATGAAGCTACTCTTTATGGGCTTTCCCTGTATAATGCACTTCATTGATGTTAAAAAAAAAAAAAAAAAAAAAAAAAAAAAAAAAAAAAAAACCAAGTGGATTTGTCTCTAATGAGATGGCAAAAGTCATGTGGAAGAGTATAGGGCTTTCACTACTTTGGACTATTTGGTTACAGAGGAATGGCAAGATTTTTTGAGAGAGACACATGAAAACTAAAAATTTTCAGCAAAAGAAAAAAAAAAAGGATCTTTTTGGAAAATCTACATACTTAGCTTCATTGTGGGTCTTGACTAATATAGCATTTAAGACTTTCAATTTTCTTTGATTATTTTGAATTGGAAAGATGTGTAGGCGTGATTACATATGATGTATTTGAGGATTCTTTGTTGGATTTTCTACTTCTAGTCTTTTCATTTTGTTTATGTTCTGCTAAAAAGAAAAAACAAAAAAACAAAAATAAAAGAGAACTTTAACTTGAGGGACTTTTTTCCTTGTTCATGCACACTACACCGATCATTGCCCATAAAATCTCTTTGAAACAAATTGTTTTGGGCGTTGAAAGTGAAAATCCTTCTATGAAAAGCGATTAAATTCACCTTTTATGGGAAATACAATTCTATTAAAGAGAACAACAAATTAAATGAAAACGTAAGAAAGAAAAATTCTAGTTAGCGGGTTGGTCCAGCCATACACAAATAGCCCAACACATTTTACACCTTTAGTTACTTCAATAGCAAGAAAGAAAAGAAAAGGACAAAATATAAAACCCCTTTCCAACAAAATCCAGAGAGGATGACTATCTTCTTTACTGATGGAAGTCCACAAAGAGGTTTTTTTATTTTTTTATTTTTATTTTTAAATCACTCTATAGGTTCTTTGGAGCTATGATCCTCAGTACCCCACAGGAGGACTTAAAATTAAACTTAACCAGTAGACACTTTGCAAACAGCCAAAAGCAACCCCCATTCCTCTTCAAAACTTTTTACTCATAAAAATTTCTCCTTGATATATTTTCTATCATAAACAATATTTTATCCCTCCAAACTCCAACCGTGCTTAAACGAAGCAGTTTGCAATTTATGTTCGCAACCTACCGAATATATAAATTACGCTTAGCAATCATAACAAAGCTTCAATTATGGGTAATGTTAAATGCCATTTTCTGCACTAGTTATAAACAATGTTGGTGATTTTTTCTTTGCCAGTCAATAAAAATCACACCCCCCAAACTCCAAATGCCTTAACATCAGGCCAAGTTTTTCCCAAGACCTAACTGATAACACAAAATTATGATCTACAATCAGAAGGAAGCCTGAATCAAGCGTAACGTAATAATCGTTTTCAGTACTAGAGTACAAATACTAACGAAATTCCATCATTCACAAAATGAAACCAAAATAGGCAGCTCCAAATTCCAATTCATAATCATACGCATGCCCTAGAGTAATTTTTGCGTACATTCTTCTCAAAGATGATAATATATTCCATTTACGTACTGAAATTTCACAGAAACCATAACACAAAAAAAGGAAAAAAAATCAAGAAAACTCGAATTTGGAAAGGAAAATGAAGAAGAGGAGAGAGAGTGAGTGAGAGAGAGACCTGGAACAGCGAGAGACGACGGAATTGGCGAGAGGAGAGAGGTGAGGAATACTGCGAACGTCGTCGTTTTGGTCTGCATTTGCGCTCTTGGGGCTGAACAAGGCTTTGAGCGACTTCTGATGGCTTCTCAACAGGCCTTCCCATAGCCCGACCTTCTCAGCAGCGTTCTCCATTGTTGCCGATTTCTTTCTTTCTTTTCGTCTTCTTCTCTCTAAGATCTCTTTTATTTATGGCTTTCTTTTTCTTCGCTTGTTTTGTGTTCGTTAAACGTTCCTTTTCTTTCGCTCGGTTTTTGTTTTCTTTCTTCTCTGTTTAAGCAAAGCATGATGATGGTTGCGTTTGCAAGAAATTTTTAGCTATCTTTATTCTTTACCTCATAACTAAGGCAGAATCTGTTTTTTTTTTTTTTTTAGGGGCAGTTTTAGGTCTCGTTCACTTCGCAGATTCGAGTTTTCAATTCGAACTAAAATGTAATATTTTCTGAAAACTTTTTACTGTAACAGAAAAAATTAGATGTGACATTTTCTGAGAACTTTTTACTGTATAAACCTAAAACTGAAAACTCAAATCGGTAAAATGAACGAGACATTATTGTTTTCTCATGCGCGCCTCACATAGGGTAAGAAATTGGGTCGAACCTGTCCGACTCGACCGACCCAACTCTACCCTACCAGAAATTCTCAATTTCTCTTTTTTTTAATTGTCAGATTTATAATTTTCCAACCCGCACAGTGCAAGTAGGGTTGCGGGGTGGGAAAGTTAGAACCCGTACTCTCTTGATCTGACCGATCAATACACGTTATTTCAATTATATATATATATATGTATATAATACATATATTATATATTAATTAATAATCACATAGAACCCTACATATAAAAGGCATTTTTTCTCTCCCTCACTCATTTTTCCACCGCCTCACTCTTCAGTCTCTCTCTGTCTTTTATTCTTTTCTCTAACCCTAATCTAATTTATCTAAAGCAGCCATTTTCCTCCAAATTATTCTTCATATGTCGAAGATTCAATCCAAATTGCTTTAAGAGCTTTTGTTTTCGTGATTTTGCTTTTGTTCTTTCTCGAAACTAATTTTGTAGTTAGAAATTAAGGCCTTTTGTTTTCTTTTTCATTTCGATTCAGGTTGTTTTTTTTTTTTTTTTTTTTTTCTTTAGAGAGATGAAGAAGAATAAGGAGGCAAGAAGCATTTACTGTTTAGTGAAAGGTCAGTGCTCATTTCTTTTGATTTTTAGAAAATGACTTGCTTTGTTAATCTCCTTCATGCATTGCTATGTTCATATATTTTGTTATATGGTCTTGCTCTGTAACTTGGCTCCTTAAAGTTGTTTGTTCTCCTTGTTTTGTCTGTGCAGAGAGAGATAACCACAATCCGCATAGACCCTGTCGACCCTACCCGAGTCAATGTAACCAGAAGAAGTGCGAGTTTTTAAGCTCAGCGGGCTGTTGCGGCCCACATTTTTCCCTACCTGCAATATGCGGCTTGACCCAAATTCAGGCCAAACCCGAGCTTACTCGGCCGAGTTACAGCCCTAGCCTCACATGATCAAAATGGTAGGAAAAAAGACTTATATATAACATTTTCTGAGAGTTTTTAACTGTACAAATTTAAAATTTAAAACTCGAATTGGTAAAATAAACGAGACTTATATATACTAAAGCTCTTAACTTGTTTCTTAGAGAAATTTTGTTAATCTTTTCTTTCCTTTTCTTCCCGTGTCTTTCTATTTTTACTCATTTGTCAGCTAAATCAGGCCTCCTAAATAGGAGGAATTATTCAGTACACTGAATGTACCATGTCATATTATTTATGTCGTACATCCGTCTAATGAGATTGTATCACTTAGATATTTTGTCTATGTCAACTTTTAATTTTTATTTTTCTCTTTCTTAATAGGTATTTACATTGATTATTGAGTCAAAAATACTTATTATTTTATCTAATTTTTTTATTTTAATGACTTAACTTTAAATTATTATTTTTATTCCTAAAATATAATAATCAAATTTCTCTAATGTCCCTTGCTATTCCATCGGCTGAGGAAAAAAAAAAACTTGATTAGAAATTTTTATTTTTTTAATATGATATTGAGGATATTGAGACTCCAAGTACATTAATATATTTTTAATATTATATTGCTTATTTATATTTTTTATTAAACTCAATTGTTGAGTCAGTTTCATGTTTTTTTCCCATTTGGATTACTTTTTTTTTATATGTGCTCAATTTGGAACGAAATGGACAAGCAAGAACGATAGTTCATGAAAGATTGAATTCAAAATGTATATGAATATATTTAACTCAAAGTAAGAAACGTATAAAAAGTAAAAGTATTATAAAAAAATATATATATATATATATGTTAGCAACTTAAGTTAAAAAAAAAAAAAAAAAAAGTTTAGCCGATGAAATAATAAGGGATGATCAGAGAAATTTGATTATTATATTTTAGGAATAAAAATAATAATTTAAAGTTAAGTCATTAAAATAAAGAAATTAAGTAGAATAATAAGTGTTTTTGACTCAATAATCAATGTAAATATCTATTAGAAAAGAGAAAAATAAAAGTAAAAAATTGATATAAACAAAATGTCTAAATAATATAATGTCATTAGATATGTGTACCATACTATGATATGATACACTTAATATACTGAATAATTCTTCTCTATATTGTGTTCCTCGTGTTAGCATTATGAAATCAAATTCAATTAATACTAACGTGTCAATAAAGGAGTTATTTTCAACAATTTCTTTGCACGTAAGACCATTTACCGTTAAAATACGTAAATTAAGATCTTGTTTAATTCAGTGTTTAAATTCAAAAAACAGTTATTTTAGTTGATTTTATGTTTGTTACAACAACAGGGAAGTGGGTAGTTTCAAGAAAAAAGACTTGTTTTTTATTGGTCCTTAATTGTAAAAATTTTGAAATTCAAGGGGTCAATTGTAAAAAAAAATAGGGACTAAATTGTTAAATTTAAAAAGTTAAAGGGGTGTTCGTATAAAATCTATGTTTTTTCTTTTTTGTTAGGGGTTGCAAATTTTTACCTAATAACTAATGGAGAACCCGTTATTTTAGAGGGGGAATTTCGTTGTTTCCTCACGTTTTGTTGTCTTTCTTTTTCATTATTATACTAGTTGAAACCGCGAAAGGAGAAAAGAAAGAAAGTGAAATGTTGATGGTCGTTTTCATACAAGGCCCCGTACAAGGGTCCAAGCCCAATAATTCTATCTCGTGACACTGTTGGGGCTCACTTTGTGGACCCAAGTCACGCTCAGAAAACTCGTGTGGGCTATAGGTAGTCAAACATGCCCATTTATTTCTTAGTCCAATCCGATTTCAAGTCCCGCTTAGGGGGTATAAAATAATTGGGCTAAGGAATGAATGGGTGATGGAGAATTCAACCCCAAAATCCTTTGTTTGCCTTGTAGTAGTTTTAGAAACCCTTTCTTCAGCCTTTGGAGACTCGAAAATCTAAAATTTAAGCTATGGAACCTTCCCATTTGATGCTAGACGAGAAGTTTTTCTGCTTTGGAGCAGCTTCCTCCGGAGCAGGCCAAGGATTCGTCTCCGTGGCAATCGCTTGCTCCAGAGGCATCACCGCAGATGCCACCACAGATACTTCCCATGCTCCAAAAGACTCTTCTGTGATCGAAAAAACCTCTTATGCTCTAAGAGACTCCCCTGTGTCTAAAGGATCTTCTCGTGCTCCATGGAGATTGAATGTGTCACGTGCTCCAGCGACGACTGTTTAACCAAAATTCAAAGGTGGCAATCTGGAGCTAGTTTGACATGTGTCCAAACCTATAGAAATAGAAGCGCCTTCAGAGCACCAAATTCAGTCAAACAATCCATGATCTCTAAACTTGGAGAAGGTCCAATGTCAGCAAGAATTCCGGATTTGGTCTCCAAATACAATAATTTTTGGCCAATTTATTTGTCAAAGAGGAAAGTCACTTGATGTAGGTGCTCTGGAGGGAAATGGTTCGTACAGGCCTCTGGCAAGGCGTGACTATACGGCTCCGGAGCAACCACCCAAGACTCCCAAACCTTCTCCTATAAATACCCCTTAGCTTCTTCGTTTCAGGGAACATTACACTTTTGAAACCCTTTTTGACACACATTCTTTCTGAGAGATTACAACTTGAGTTCACCCCTCTGAGAGGCTCTTCGGGTTTGAAGTTAATCATAGAAATCTCACTCAAAAATTCTTAAAACACTTCGTTTGATCCATCCAAACTCGTCTTCAAGCTACATTTGAAGTTTCTCAGGTTTCTCCAAAGGTCTGAAAATCTGCCCTCCGTGGCTGGACTCTGCAGTCTCGGAGCACACTTCTGAAAAACCATAAACTTCACCTGTTGATACACATTCTCGGAGGCAACCTGTGTTCATTCTCCGAGCACTCTTCTGAAATAGCCTTATCCATACTCTATGAGTTAGACATCCGCTCCAGAGGCAACTTATGCTTGTCCTCAAAGTGTTCTTTCAAATAGCCTTATCCATACTTTCCGAGTCAAATCTCCATCAACCGTTCGGTTACTCCTTGCGCCATACTTCATCCATGTGATCTCCATGAATGAGCTCAACATCTTCCCACATGCATAGTCGAGAGTGCCTCAGCAACTTGACAGTAAAGTGGGCCTTAGAATCCAATTTCTTTGGTTTACTTTGGGCGTAATCGATCACCCATTCTTCTTTGGAGGTCCTACCATACACGCTTCTCTGTGAACGCGGCGTGTTTCATCCTCGTCAGTATAGACACCACCGAATCTGGTACTTTGGTACTTGCATGTGTGTACCTCGTACACGTCGTACCCACCAAATCTACCGGGCCCCAACATAAAGGTGACTCCACTGTGGAGATTAGGCCACCATTCTACAATGGCACCTCAAAACAAAAGAACTTGTCTCACCCATGAAGGAAATTCTCAAAAGATGGAGAAGTGTGCTTCGCACCATGAAACTCTTAACACTGACCAACACAACGAAGGAGAACAGCCCACGATTCCGAATATCATGGCCGCCCTTTGATTCCTCGAAGACTCCTATAATGAGATCCTTTCCGAAGCCAATAAGCTCTGGGAGCGCTTTCGTAAAGACCTAGCTCTTGGTCTCGCTGATGATGAGGCTTTGCAAAAAGCCATAGCTGTTGGAGCAATTCTGAAGCCTTCAGAGCTAACCAATGCTTGTCCTCTTACCCGTGAAGATGTGCTAGCCATCTTAGAGCAGCATGCGCATGGCATTGCTTCAGAGGA